AAATATATAATATAATATATAATATAATATATAATATATAATATATAATAACTATAATAATAATAAAAGTGAATTATGTGTTTGTGGCCAGTATTAAGCAAGATGTTTTAAAAAAAATCATGCATTTACTATAGTTTATCTGATTACTGTAATTTTAATGTTACTAATATGATATCTGAAGTAATGTCTGTGTAAAATGTGTCTCAACCTTCTTATTTTGTATATATATAATACCAAACTATTCCACATCAGAGCTGTCTAAGAGCACTATATGTGCCTCAACAACATTTTCTGTGTGGTAAACAATGACAAAATAAAACTCAACCACAGGTGGAGTCAGACTGAGGCAAAGAGAAATACAAATTTTATTTGTTGCACAAGAAAACACAGTACAGGGGCGACAACGCCGGTATACCATGCAATCAAGTATTACAGATGTGTGCTTGTGTCATGCAGCATGCACTGAACAGAAGAGTCCACGGGGAGAACACATGCACATGTACAACAGTTTGACTGCCAGTTTGTTCTTCAAGAGTGAGTTTAACACCAGCTGAGAATCCCGTCTCTGCTGACCTCCAGTGGCTGAAGGCACCGGTAGAGATTAAACATCGACTACACTTACATTCATATAAGAAACCAGGTTATTTGGGGAGGGAGGAGGGTAAATCAGGTATACATGCACTGCAAAGAGGATTCTCCCAAACCATCTGCCATATCATTTTGGAACAAAGACTAGCATATTTTATGTGTGGTGGTGATGTATTCTTTAACTATGAAGCCTTTTTACAGTACAGTGTAGAGTTGTGCCTTACTGTGTGTGACGTGTAGGAATAGTGTTGAATCAGCTAAATAAATGCCCCTGTAGTATAATGCTGTTTCACTCATCCCTCTGCAGCATTACTTTCCCTGTATGACACCTTTTTCATGCAAATGGATACAAAACAACAACAAACAAACTGTGTTTAGATGGCCAAGAAATCAGTTTTTCCAGCAGAAATCTATCTGTGTTAACCAGGTTTCCTTTCACCCCTCAGTCCAGTTAATAAAACTGGGTTGATCCTTTACGTAACACCTCTGGACACAGGCATTTTTAAAAAGCTGGCGATAAACCAGTTACTTAAGTGCATGTAAGAACACTAAATGCTTCTCAGCTTGGTACTAACTCACTCTTTATGAACAGATTCAGAAGAACAAAACAAAAACAGATATGTCACGTCTTTGAGTGTTATTTTCTTTCATGGTATCAAAGAGGGTAGTTTCATCATATATAGCCACAGGATAAAAAATAAAAAAAACGTCTGTACAGTACATAGCATGTTTGTTCACTGTAAACAATTCTGTCAGACTGCAAAAATAACCGAGTCGTTCAGCGACGTGATCTCTCCGCGCTGACGCGACAATAGCATCCTGTAAAGGTCGTCATCGTGAGATTTAAGGACTTTTCTTTAAGGAGGAAGAAGGACTTAAGTAACACATCAACGATTCTGATTCAAGACTCAAAAGAAAGTGAGTAAAAAATTAAAAAAAACACTGACAAATAAAGACGATAAACCTCAAAACTCTGTAGTGGAAAAATGTGAAGCATACTGTTCTGAATCCCAGCAAGGTCTTTTGTAAAAAAAAAAAAAAAACAGCACATTCCCTCAAATCAAGACTTCCCAAAATCCTGGTGCCTCAAATTGTAATTGTCATTGTGCATATCATGTCCTTATAACTCATATGGAATTATACATCCTTGTTATCAAAATATACATCAACATTTTTTTTTACAATACAAAGACATAAAACATTTGTTCAAAGAAGCCCTGGGTTTGGATTCGATGTAAGGGATTCCCTCTGCCATTCTCAGTTTACCTTCAACATTCACTTACAAAATTCATGTCAAAATACATTAGTGCACGTTTCCCCTCGATGTAAACATCACTACACAGTAAATTAAGTAGGAACAGGTCTTTTAGGCGTGGTGTGGAAAAATAAACAAAGACGAAAGCTACCGTTTCAGGAAAGAATACTCCAACAATACACGAGGATCCGAAACATTTCCAGGTACAAAATGTCTTGTTGCTGTAGGTAAGAAAAGACAACAATACACGTAACAAAAAGATATTCCCTCCAGGCTCTGAAGAAGACAAAGACTTCCATTTGGCTGCTCAATGTTTTCCTGCATGCTTTGATTAGAACAAGTTATTACAGCCAGACACAGAGCCATGCTGAACCAGTGTTTACACAAGTGAGCAGGAACATAAGAAACTAGTTAGAGACACCTCTGCGATACCGTATCACACAAAGTTTATATCGAGTAGCCACGAAGCAGAGTGTCGTGTTCTGCAACATCCAGAACTTCATTTCTTACGAGATGTTGTCGAGATCGCGATACCAGTGGGGGAAAAAAAACAGAAGTACTTCGAAAACATCTTCAGTTGAGAGTACATACAACACAAAAACATGGTTTCAACTGACATCTGTCTTCAAAGATATGGCTTGGAGGACACTGCACTGATATCGTGGCACATAACACCCTTTTTTAAATCGGCTTCATTGTGTCTTTATGACAGATTGTACTTTAAAGTCACACCTGGACGGCGGCAGTGTGCAATATTACCCTGCACTGATCGGCTCCACGTTTAAGAACGATGCCGTGACCGTAAATTCACACTGCACGAAACATGATCAACAAGTCACTGGAAGTACTAATATATATCTCACAAATGTGATGACGTCAGAGAAACATCTTTTCATGTCCGTCTTCCATCAGACAACCATTAATTATTCTGCACCTCTTTCATGAAAAATTGTTTTGCAAAATGGAAGAATTCTAGCTTTGCAAAGCTTCTCAGTTTGGAGCAACTTTCAAACTTGGGCAGTTTTTTTTCCCCCTGCACTAATCAGTGCTCGGCAGCTTCAATGTTTTCTTCTAGGATGTAGTGCTATTAAAGGCAGAAGCAAAGCAGCAAAAACAGTTGTAATTTGTAGCTACAACTGCAGAGTTCAGCTGACGATTGATCAGAATATGACACATCAACCATGTTGCTCACAGTGTGAACCAAAGGTCATTCTTAGGTTTATGGAGATCAAAAATAAAAAGCAGTATCACACTATTGTAGGCGGCACTGTTAAGATCTAAACTGACGCTGAGAAGGAGGAAAAAAATAACTTCAGCTTCTAAAATGACTTCTTGTAACTTTTGGTCCTTCAACAACAGTGCCTAGCATTATCAAACTACTCTGTACCGAGACTATGTATTTAAAAAATAGACATTTATGAGATTTATATATATATATATATATATATATATATATATATATATATATAAAAAAGAAATCCAGTCAAAAGACATAAAACAACATTTTATGGATACAAAAATGTTGAGCCTTGGCTATTCAACCAATGAGAACTTCCCTCTTTCCCAGTTACTAACTCATCATAGTTTACAAATGTAATAAATAAGACCAGAACATCTGCAATGCCTTGAGTCAAATATTTACAATTACAAAATTCAAGTAAAATCTCCTCCCACACACTCTCAGCCCGACAAGTTTGTAAATGAGTTTACAACTTTTTGACAGACTTGAAAGAAAAAATACGAGCAGTTTAAAATGAGTGCAGTGGCAAGTTGTCACTTTCTCAGACGCCCTTTTTGTGGATTTTCCTCTCTGCATGCAGGCTTCTCTGTTGATGGTCCAGCCTGAGGACCAGTAGAGACGGTTTCTGCTGCCTGACCGCAGACAGCGAGAGGACGTCCCACCTGTTGAGAAGAAGGGACGCCCACCTCCAGCTCAGCTATCTCGTTGGTTTCTTCTCCATCCGAACACGGCTCCCACTCATCCTGCTCGCTCTCTGTTGAGCCCTGTACAGCAATCTGGGGAACCAGTGTGAACCTCCTCACCACCGGCACTTCCAGCTCCACCTCCTCGCTGGTTTGTGGTCTAGTGAGCATCCAGGCCATCCTGTGCTGCTGCTGCTGATGTTGCGTTTGGGCTCCTGCAGCCGTGGTGGTCACTGTGACCGTGGTGCTGGTTTTCTCCTCCGGCTCGTCAAAGCTCACCTCCTGCACCGCCTCCTGTTTCTTAAAGGAGTCCCGCCGCTCTGATAGGTTGAGCTTTCGCATCACGACC